TTACATTACTGATGACTTATTTTCAAAAGTAATTAGTTACTTAGTTACCTTTTAAAAACATGATACACAACCTGAATACGCAATAAAGCAACAGACCTTTCAGCACAATTCTATTTTTCTGCATTTTTTCCACCATATAAAATATATAAAATGAAAAAGTCTTAAAATTTGTTTTATTAGTTTTAATCTTTTAACTTTATGCATCAAGCAAAAATGTAATTATATACAACAGTCTTTGACTGGAAGAAATGTGTTTAACATTTAAACCTATGTTCTCCATATTCCAGCATTTAAAATAAAATAATGTTTTGTGTTTACACTCTTTCAAATAGATGCAAGTAAAACACAGCAGAAAATAACTAAAATCAACGACTCAGCAGCTCTTAAATCTATTGTCACCTGTTTAGCAGGAGTGGGGCGGGTGGAGGTTTGCCCACAGCGGTCATGTCAGTGGGGGGATCCAGGGGTTTCTCTGTGAGTGTCACATTCCCGTGGCAGCGTGCTCGCTGCTCGCTCAGATTAGAAGTTTTCTTCCCATGCAGAGTGTAGAGCAGACGCTTATGTTTGTCTCACTTTTTACAGAATCAAACTCAAAGTAATGTGAGTACTTCCAAGCTTTAAATGCTGCACAGTTGTACTCTTTCCATATTATCCATTGTTGATGTACACCCATCTGTTACCACTAAAGTCTCACGCACTCATGTCATTGTCATGAGACACTCTCACAAATAAAATCATGGTTTAATAATGCAGAAACGCAGCGTGCTTACTGGAAAGTAACTTTGATTAATTTTTGTAATAGTAATCCCTTATTTTACTCATTACTTGTAATGCATTACTGCCCATCTCTGACTATGACACAGTGAGTGCGTGTTAACATAACAGCTGCAGTCATTCTTTCTTTACAACATCTTCACTTCATATTTCCACAAAAGTTCTGACAGTCACACATTTGATTGAATTTTCCCCTGATGGTGGTCAGGGAGGGCCACCATCAGGGACAGATGCCCCTCCCTCATCCTGGTCATGGTAGTTGGATGCCCCTCCCTAATCCTGGTCATGGTGGACAGATGCCCCCCCTCATCCTGGTCATGGTGGACAGATGCCCCTCCCGCATGACAGTCATGGTGGACAGATGCCCCTCCCTCATCCTGGTCATGGTAGACGGATGCCCCTCCCTCATCCCGGTCATGGTGGACGGATGCCCCTCCCTCATCCTGGTCATGGTAGACGGATGCCCCTCCCTCATGACAGTCATGGTGGACGGTTCCCCTCCCTCATCCTGGTCATGGTAGACGGATGCCCCTCCCTCATGACAGTCATGGTGGACAGATGCCTCTCCCTCATCCTGGTCATGGTGGACAGATGCCCCTCCCTCATCCTGGTCATGGTGGACAGATGCCCCTCCCTCATCCTGGTCATGGTGGACAGATGCCCCTCCCTCATCACAGTCATGGTGGACAGATGCCCCTCCCTCATCTTGGTCATGGTGGACAGATGCCCCTCCCTCATCCTGGTCATGGTGGACAGGTGCCCCTCCCCCATCACAGTCATGGTGGACAGGTGCCCCTCCCTCATCCTGGTCATGGTGGACAGATGCCCCTCCCTCATCACAGTCATGGTGGACGGATGCCCCTCCCTCATGACAGTCATGGTGGATGGATGCCCCCTCCTGACTGTGATTATGGCTGATGGATGCGTCTACCTGATTGTGGTCATGGTTAGGATGTGTCTGAGTACAGAATGACCGCTCAAGTCTTATAAACTTAAATGTTTTTGCCCGTCTTAAATTAAGACGGGCAAAAACTTCCTCGGCTGTGTTAATGACGATAAAACTGAACTTGACACTGAAGGTGATGTATGGAACAGACCAGCAGCCTGACACCTGAATTCTGCTTGTTCTTATTGAACTTACACAGACGGTTCATTTCAGGGCTCGGATGCTTTCAATTTTACATGTGTGTCTTCTCTCAAAATGCAGCTGCTGTTGTGGACACATGAGCTGAGCCTAGGTTTGCCAGCACTTATCAGCTGGCAAATTAAGAACATCTCATTACAACTTTTGTGGTGTTGTCCTCTTGTGGGTGGTGGGGAGGACACAGGAGGCACTGTAGAGGTTCAGTGCTTGGTGGATTGGGTGGCAGTCAGGGGCAGAGGTCTTGGCATTCTGATCCCCGGATTCCAAAAATGGTTTGTGATCGCCTCGCTCGTATAGAAGGAGGCGGAGCTGGTGTGTGAGGTTGGGAGATCAGGGTGATCATGTGGATGGAGGGCTTCCTGCTGCCGCTGACCTGTGCCATCTACGGCCTCAAACTGGACGACGTCAGCAACAGCTTGAGCATGTGTGCGACGTGCACTCTGAGCACGATCTGATATCCTCGTGTTGGTGTTGTTCCCAGATCATCATACTAAAGGTTGTTCCAGGATCAACATTGCAAGTGACCAATCAGAATGTTGTGATGTCATACTTTTGCGACTTCGGGAAAAACCGGCGTA